TCCTGTATGTCTGTACAGACCTCCAGACTTCTATGATTAACTAGTGCTAGGATTAAAGGCGTGTGCCACCACTGCCTGGCTTTGTTCCCAGCGTGGCCTTGAACTCACAGAGATCCTAAATGCTAGGATTGAAGGCTTGTGCTACCACTGCCTGACCTCTGTGTTTAATATAGTAGCTGGCTCTGTCCTCTGATTCCCAGGTAAGTTTTATTGGGGTGCACAAATAAAATACCACCACACTGTCTCTTGAACTTTGGAGGGGATGATAGAAGTGTCTTGTTTAGGGCTGATCACTCAGCCATCATTATTTTCATTCCTTCTTGTAGCCACAAGTGTCCATGCACTACAGTTCACCGAAAAGAGACTTTTCTGGTTAATGCTGAGATTGGTAATTGTCAGTGGATGTAAATATATGTTTTGAAGGTAGTTCTACACTTTGTTAATTTAGTTAAACAGTAGAATTGAATTCCCTCTAGGGCCTATGACCTACCCACTACCATAGGCTTTTGAGTGGGGTTTATAGTATCAAGTTTGGAGATGAAGAGTGGACCTTAAATCCTATCAGGGGGATGTTGATTACCTCCATAATGGCCATGCCACTGTTGTGCATGTGGGTATATCTTGCAAGGCCTGTTGGTAACATAGTTCCTAGGATTCCCAGCTGGGTAAGACTGTTGATGCCTTTCTCCCCCAGCCACATGCAAAGCACCTTCCAGCATTGTAGGGAGATTTCCAGCTCCCTGCAAATACTTTATGTGTCTTTCCTGACATTCAAAGATGTGGTTTTATGAATAGCCTCCCACCTAGAATGCTCTCCTATCCCAAGTCTCCAGTGAACACCTTTGTACTGCTAGTTTATAGAATAACTGTACCCTAGTAATATTTATAATAATAGGGACTATTTTAGTTTGGTAATGGATTTCTAGAAGAATCATCCCATGAACTGAGCAAATTGGTTGAGCACCAATTTATACAGTTCTTACAGAACATGAAATTGCTATAATCAATATGGGGTAAAAGCCCTGAAGGATTACAGTCATACAATATAAACCTTCAGGATTCATGTGTGGCCTCAGGTGCATGAGCCTACTGCACAGCAACTGCCCTGTTAATATGTGCCAGTTATTGTTGACAGACCTTGCTAGTGATCACATCCCTTTGTTTATGCTTCCAATGTTCCTGAATGTGTAGTAGGTCCAAGGTACTGTAAGTGGATGTTTCCATCCCTCCAGCAACTCCCAAATACCTTGCAGCCCCCTCCCCCAAATTACCACACAGAGGCTTATATTAATTATAAATGCTTGGCTGGTAGCTCAAGCTTGTTACTAGCTAACTCTTACATTTTAAGTTAACCCATATTCCTTATTCATGCTCTGCCATGTGGCGGTACCTTTATTAGCATGGCAAGTTCATCTCCTGCCTCCTCTGCATCTGGCTGGTGACTCCTGACTCCACCCTTCTCCTTTCCATCACCCTTAATTTGGTCGCCTTCCCTATACTTCCTGCCTGGCTACTGGCCAATCAGTGTTTTATTAAACCAATTTGAGTGACAAATCTTTACAGTGTGCAAGGGGATTATTCCACAGCAATGTACCAGCCACACTGTGGAGAGTACAGAAAATTGTCTAAGCAACTTTGTCTGACCTAAAGCAACTTTCAACTCATCAAATTTGACATTGCTTACACCTGCAAAAAATGATTTCTAGTTTTAAACCTTACTTCTCCATAGTGACTTGTGGAGAGTTTAAGTCTATGTTTGAGAGTAATGTGAGATTTCAGAAACTACCTATGAGCTTTCAGAAACTTGGAGAGAAATTGAACAACTTCATACTCAGGTGGTGTGGCTTGTGCCCATAATTGTAACATTTGAAAATCTGAGGGCAGAGGCTGTCTTGAATTCAAGGAGAGCCTGTGCTGCACAGGGAGCCATATCTCAATAAACAGAACAAGACAAACAAGCAAAAAGAAAAGGAAACAACAACAAACTCACAAAAGAAAAATTGAATACCTGTTAGATTTAATAATAAGTGAATAATTTTGTCTTTTATAATTTTTATTCTAGTTGCTTTTTATTATATTTTGCAAAAGTTCTGGGTTGTGATGCACTGGAAATAATAATAAAAATTTCCAATGAGATCGGATGCCGTGCTGGTCTTGAATTTGTGATGGTTCTTCTCCTGCTTCTGAGAGCTGGATTATGGCATTGTGGTGGTTTGATAGGTATGGCCACCATAGACTCATGTGTTTGAATGTTTGGCCTATAGAGAATGGCATTATTAGGAGGTGTGGTCTTGTTGGAGTATGCGTAGCCTTATTGGAGGAAGTGTGTCACTGTGAGCACAGGTCTCCTATGCTCAAGCTATAACCATTGAGGGACACAGTTCACTTCCTGTTGCCTGAGGATCAAGATGTAGAACTCTGGGATATCCCCCCAGCACCATGCCTGCCTGCACGCTGCCATGCTTTCACTGTACTTCCTGCCATGACAATAATGGACTAAACCTCTGAAACTGTGAGCCAGCCCCAATTAAATGTTTTCCTTTATAAGAGTTGCCATAGTCATGGTGTCCCTTCACAGCAATAGAAATCCTAACCCTAACTAAGACAGGCATGTACCACTACCATACTTAGCTGAAAACATAATTGTTAAAAACTAGACCTCCACCACAGATGGTTGAGAAGCCACTTTTTAAGTATCTCTTCTTAATTTAGAAAGTATTGGTTTCCCCTCCAGTCTTACTTTCTTCTTCACCTTGTAAATTTATGCCAGAGGAAACTATTAAGTATTAAATTTTAGCCAGGGTGCTAATGCAGGGAAAGAAAGCCATCTTTGATTAAAAAAAAAAAAAATCATCCTCACAAAACCAAGGCAAAGCACTCCCAAGGTCAAAATGCATGAAATAAGAATGCAGTTTGAAAATCAAAATCCTTTTTAAAGCAAAGATTTGGTGAGGTCTAAATATTATATTAGATTTCTATTAGATATATTAAGCTAGTTTGATGGGATAAAGCTACAGTTTAAGATTACAAATAACTAAGGAGAATGAACATCTGGATACATTTATGCCAGGATACTTTTTGGCTGATCTCATGAGAGTCTAGTAGAAAACATGTGTCCCCCTGAGTCAGCCACGCTGATGGGTCATGACCCTGAACTTCAGCCATCCTGCCCGTGAAATGAGACTGCTTGTGAATGGAAAGGTCATCCCAGGGGACCACTAGGCCTTCTCCATTTTGAATGCTTAGGAACTGAATGCCATAATCTTTGTTGTTGTTTTGTACTGGGCGTTCATTCTAAGTCCCTGTGCATGATGGACAAGTGCTCTATCGTTAAGTTATATCCCCAGTCCCCAAATCATCTTACACTACTATATTTTTATGGTTTAAAAATATTATTTATTGCCAGGCAATAGTGGCACACACCTTTAATCCCAGCACTTGGGAGGCAGAGACAGGCGGATCTCTGGGAGTTTGAGGCCAGCCTGGTCTACAGAGTGAGATCCAGGACAGGCACCAAAACTACACAGAGAAACTCTGTCTCGAAAAACATATATATACATATATATATATATATATATGTGTGTGTGTGTGTGTGTGTGTGTGTGTGTGTATGTGTGTGTGTTATTTATTTTATATTTTGAGAGCACAATGTAATTTATCATTTTCCTTTTCACGTTCTTCCCTCTGGGCACTCCCATATACCATTTCTTGGTTCTTTTTCAAATTCATAGCCTCTTGTTTTTCATTAGTTGTTGTTTTATATATATATTAACACACACAGCTCATACTTGCTCTGTCTGTGTGATGTTACTTGTGGGTATGTCTTCAGGGCTGACCATTCGGTACTGGATAACCAATCGGTGTGCTCTTCCCTGGGAAGACCTTTTCTCCCACTCTCAGCATCCTCAGCTGCCTGTAGTTCTTTGTGTAGGTCACGGGATTTCCCCCGTTTGCGGTAGTGTGTCTATTGTTGCTCAGCTCACATTCGGGCAGTCATGTTGGCGAGACTTTCTGGGTGTAGTTTCCCACATTCCTAGGAGACAGAGTCTCACAGTAAGCTTCCTGTCCCGGCTTTCGTCTTTCTGCCCCTCTCCTGTAATGTTTTTTGAGCCTGGAGTGCAGTTGTGTTGTGGAAATTTTCATGCTGTAAAATGAATTTTTGGAAATTAAGAACTCCTCCTCTATGCCATGTATTTCCTGACAGAGTCCTCTCACGTTACCAACGTGGAAAGGCTGGGAGTCATGAAGTAGACAGTATGGAAATGGAGGCTGGCAGAGATAAAGCATGTAACAAAAGCAGAGAGGAAAATAAAGGTCATGGCTTTCAAGGTATCCTTGATCTGTAGGAGCTGCGTGTGAAAGGCCAATGTGGGAACATTCACAGTCACCTGGGGAAAGTTGGCAGAGAGGAGATGCCCTGCCCTGGACATTCTCTTGAACTCTTGAATCATAACCCAAATGTCGGTTGTGATCGCCTTGCCTTCGAAGCTGATACAGTCATGGAGGGACCCCATGGGAGGAGAGGAAGGAGGGGAAACAGCGGTCAGGTTGTAAAACAAAACAAAACAAAACAAAGCCAAGCCAAAAAGCGGTCCAAGAATGTGATGGGCTAAGGGAGTTGGTTGGCTAATAGTCAGACTCCTTTCACGTTAGAGGACATTTTTGTGGAAGTTTGTCTTACAGGTCTTGTAACTGATGTGCACATCTGCACACGTATACTTTTAGGCAATGTAAGGAGGTCTCAAAAGGAAACTATTTAGAAGACATATTTGATTTTAGATGGCGTCCAGGCTCTTGACTTGACAAAGCGAGACAGAGTGAATGTCTCATTCTGTGTTCCTCTTCAGATCTCTACTTCATAGGACTTGACTTGTCCACAGCCTGCCTGAGAGGGAGCGCCCTTTCCTTTATCACTACAGTCCCTGTGTCCCGAGAAGACCTTATACGCAGGAAGTATTGATTGGCATTTGTCAGTGACCCTGCAAACCGCTTTGTTATAGGAGGCAGTGCAAGTATTGATTAAACACTCGGCCGATGTCAATGCGCGAGACAAGAATTGGCAGACCCCCCTCCACGTGGCGGCAGCCAATAAGGCTGTCAAGTGTGCAGAAGTGATCATCCCGCTCCTGAGCAGTGTCAATGTCTCCGACCGAGGAGGGCGCACAGCCTTGCACCATGCAGCTCTGAATGGACACATGGAGGTGAGTGTTTGCCTCAGTGGGAACTGGGACGCGCTACTCAGACCCTGTGAGCCACAGATGGAGCCATTGTGATTGTTGAGACTTTATGTGAATGTCAGTATAATAGAGGTCTGTCACTTGGGCAATTATATCCATTCTCAAATTCAGACCATAATGAACTGAGAAAGTAGACTGTCATAGCCGTCTTCTCTTGGCGCGTGTGGCAGGGCCTGCTGTGATACCATCTTTCTTGTCTAAATCCCTGACTTGCTGTTAGGGTTGAGCTGATGAGGTGTAGAGCACAAGCAGGCGGTGAGGAGCCCTCATCATTACAGAGGGAACACTTGATTTCATTGTTTTTTTTTTTTTTTTTTTTTTAATCTTCCAGATGGTCAATCTACTCTTGGCCAAAGGGGCAAACATCAATGCATTTGACAAGAAGGACCGGCGTGCTTTGCACTGGGCAGCGTACATGGGTGAGGATTCTGTGTGTGGAAAGCAAAGTGCGGGTGTCGTTACTAGCTCAATGGGAGGGCAAGTGCCTAGTGTGCATAAGACCCTGGTTTTGATCCCCAACATCAAACAACAACTAAAAACCACAAGCAGATGACCTTAACTGCAGAAGCCGCAGGCCCTTGTTGACTGTGTAGGCTTTCTTGGGCAAGTCTGACTTAAGCGTTGGATTCCACTTGAATGAAGATTTGGCCCGTTTTCCTGGCATCTGTAAAGTGCTCCAGTTGGCTAGTTGCCTTGTCAGAGGCTTATTTATCCCAACAGAGGGGGAGGGTGACTCATGGCTTGGATCTCTCTGAACATTCTTCACTCCGGATTGGAAAGCGACACACTTTGCGTGTATGTTAGCTTGTTATGGCATCAAATAAAGTGTTTAGAAAAGAAAGTAGACTGTTTAGCAATGCAAGGACGCCACGCTCGTTGTCTCTGCACTTCTAAATATTTCTGAAATAAACCAAGGGAAGGAAGAGAGGAAAGTTTCCTGGCTCCTTTGTAGGTAGAAGTGGTGGAATTCCTGTCCATCAGGCTTCTGCTAGGCTGAGTTCAAGGTGGAGGCCCACAGGCTTCCCTTCTGTCCACCTCACTCTGCTGGAGTGGAAGAAATAGGGTGCCTCTCTGTTTTGTCCTTTCCTTTTGATTGGCGCAAAGATTTTGGACAAATAATAGTCTTCCCAGTTTACTTCAATGGAGACATGAGACATGAAGAACTAAGATCCTTCTGTGTGTTTCTGGTTGGAAAAGAACCAGCAATTAGAAAAGAAGACAGGGTTCTATCAGACAAGTTGAACACAAGCTGATACCCACCCAGGGGATATTGTTCTGGTAAATTCCAGAGCATCCATACAATGTGACCCAGTAGGGAGTACAGCAATGGTGTCCATGTATATTTATAAACATCCAGGGCTTGTGATGCACTAAGGGGGGGGGGGCTCACAGAGAAACACAGATATGTATCGTATTCTGTATGCATGTATAGAATATGGTAATATGTGTAATATTTTCCATTGCTGTGGAAACTTCTAAACAGTGAAGGGAAATTGGAAAATAAATAGTGAAATATTAGATGGTATCTCCAGGGATTGGTGATTGGCTTCTTTTTTTGAGCATTTTTGCCTGTTTGAGTCAGTTTGATAAGCATATATGTCTTTTATCATCATTTCAAATTTCTTCATGTCTCATGTCTGCATTTCAAATGTCAAAAATTAACATTATGTAGGCGGCGGGGGGTGGGTGGGGTGGGTGGTGGATAGGGGTAAGAAGAAAACAAGTCATTCCACAACAGATTTCTGAATGAATTTTTAGACTTACAGATCCCAAGAATCTTAAAAATTTGTAAGAATTAACTCTTTGTGTAACAAAAGACCTTGAACTGCTCCTCCTACCACCCCCCATCCCCCGCCCCAGTGCTGGCATTACAGACCTGTGTCGCTCTGTCTGCCCCTTCTTTCATTTTTGAGTACCACAGACCTTTGAGTTGGCTAAAAGCAATCGGCTGTTCAGACAAAATGTATACTGAGCTACTCAAAGAATCCGGGGGCTTCAAGCTTCTGCTCTGCTGATGTATGGTTAAAATATCTTGGTGACCCGAAGAAGTCACATCATTAGTACCATGTCATCAGGATACAAAAATGGAAAAGGATGCATGTGGGTGACAGTTCTTAGGAACTAGTGGAGTAAAAGTGGGGACAAACAGCTTGAGATAGCGCCACTAGTAATTGAAAATATTTTGTTCTCTATACACGTTTATTGTAGATAAAGAATCAAATTTTGACGAAGCAAGCTCACACACCCCGACCCCTACCGACACCTGCCACGTCCTTCACAAACTTTGGGTCCTGCAGTCAGTATTTGTCTCCTGCCCTTCAGTTAGCTGCGATGTCTGTAACAGTGAACTTAAGCTTGGAGTGATCTTCAGTTATAAAATAAAGGCCAAACATGTTTATCATTGTGAATCATGGAGCAGAGTTCAAACGCCCACAACAGTTGCGATTAGGAGGGTTTTCTATTTAGTGAATAATTTATGGGAGTTATTTTTACAGGGTAACATAAGAAATTGTCCTTTTAAATTTAAATGGATTAAAACCCATCAAAGCAATGGCAGTTTCAGATTTAACCGTAATCTGGGAGTATTGTGATTTTTTTTTCTTTAGTTAGTTTTCTAAACTAAATTGTTACTGTTGGGCTTTTTTGGTGAGGAATAGTAATGGTTTTCATTTTAACACAACCCTTGTTACTGTTTCTGTTTTGAGGCAGGATCTTGCTAAGCCATCTAGGCTGGTCTGGAATTCACTCCGTAGCCCTCGCAGTCTTTGAACTTGTAATTTGCTGCCGTCCGTCTCCCAGTTGCTGGGATTGCACACCACTCAACTTCAGTACAACTTTCAAAAGGCCGTGGCCCTATGTGTTGTCACTCTCTGGTTCTTCTTTGTCACGGTGAACAGCCACCACTCTACCACAGCTACATCTCATTCAAGTCTTATTGAATCATCCTTCTTCCCGTGGGACAGATATAATGTCCCGCACAGAGTTGGCACTCAATAAATGCTCACTGACTATTTTCCATGAGGCAGCTTGGATCAGAAAAACACTGGTGGTTTAAAAAAACAAAAAAGAGCTAATAATGATCTTTTCGGGTGCAAAATGTTGTCACGTTGCCTATTTAAAGTTAATGATATTTTTACCGCTTTGTTTTGTCAAGGTCACCTGGATGTTGTGGCCCTGCTTATTAACCACGGCGCTGAAGTTACCTGTAAGGATAAGAAGGGTTATACCCCGCTGCATGCTGCAGCCTCCAATGGGCAGATCAACGTTGTCAAGCATCTCCTGAACCTGGGGGTGGAGGTAAGCCTCAGGGGCTGTGCCACAGCACGGTTCATGTCTTTCTGGGTTTTCTTCTGCTCTGAAATACAATCCTGTTTGCATTTTTATTCAAGTGGGGAAAAACTTATTTCCTTGGGTCCTGTATTTCTTTTTATGTGAGCTGATAAATTGTGATAGAGGCATTGATTAAATAGCAGGAAACCAGAAACAGACTATATACATGGAGAAATATATAAATGTCTCTCTCTCCCTCTCTTTCTACGTAGTTTCTTTGTGTGGCCCTGACTATTCTAGATCTTTCTCTGTAGACCATGCTAGCCTCAAACTCAGAGATCTGCCTGCCCCTGATTCTGCCACCTAGTGCTGGGATTAAAGGCATGTGTCACCACCTCCTGGCTAACATTTATATCCTGTCTAGTATGTAACAATCAGTCATGTAAAAAGGACCCCCAGAAGCTGACCTGGGAAATCATGGGCCACAGTCCAAGAGGGAGAATGGAGGACAGGGATTGAACAAAGGGACTTTGATGTTGAGCTACAGTCGGCTGTAGGAGGCCAGCTCCCACCTTTTAAAGGGTTCCTCTGAGGAGGAGAGAGGGATAAGAAGCTTTTAGATAGAAAGATAGCGAAGAGGCGAAAGACAGAAACACAGGATAGCTTCAGGAAGACCTGGATCAAAACCCAATGGCCCCTTCTGTCTCTTCAAAAGGGCTTTTTATAACAATGCCAAGGGGTGGGGCAAAAGACCTCCCCCTTACTAGATTAAAATATACCGCACAGCCAAGTGCAGACCCTTCCAAACACCTGGTAACCACGCCCATGCCTGCTGGGTAGAGCAAGTTCAGGTTCTCAGACTGTAAGTTCTCAATAGGAAACCTCTGTGGGTCTCTACAGTCGGCCAGTCCCATTCTCCTTCAGTCAGGCACAGTAATGCTCAGGGTATCTTAGGATACCCTGGAGGAAAGGAGAACCGGGTGCTGTGTGAGACCAAGGTGGTGATGCCTGATCCTTGAGCAGGTCTGGGGAAGCAGTAGGGAGCTGTGGACGACATACCTCAGTCCCACAGGTAGGTCAGCCTGTGAGGTGTCAGGCTCCAGAGTGAAAACAGAATTGATTCCGAGCCAGACTCGAGGGCACTGGGTCCACAAGTCACCTCTCTTGCTGGCCCTGTCCCATCTTCTCATGGTCACTGTTCCCGAGCCCGTGACTTTGGGGTTTGTTCTTTGCTTTCCTGACACGTTGAAGGTGTCTTTGCCTTTTGTCTTGTTTGTCTCCCTCCAGCTGGGAAAACCCCGCCACAGGCTGAAACCTCTGCTACCTCACGGGTCATTTTTTGTCATATTCAATTTTGCCTGTCTTCCCTGGGGGTGGGAGGTGGGGGAGGGAGAGAGGCACTCTTGGGATACCTGCTGGGGAGCAAGTGAGCTCTGAATAATCATGCTGACTTGTGTGTATGTTTCCCTGCTCTCGCCAGAGCCATTAGGCCTTTTGTGGGAAATGGACTAAATTGGCCCCAGTGATTTTAATTGCCCTGTGTTGGATGCTTTGCAGATTGATGAAATCAATGTCTACGGAAACACAGCGCTGCACATTGCCTGCTACAACGGCCAGGACGCTGTCGTGAACGAGCTCATCGACTACGGTGCTAACGTGAACCAGCCCAACAACAGTGGCTTCACCCCGCTGCACTTTGCAGCGGCGTCCACTCATGGTGCTCTGTGTCTGGAACTGTTAGTAAACAACGGGGCCGACGTGAACATTCAGGTATGACCCTCAGTCTCTCTGCCTTAAACACCTTTGCACCGAGCCCTTGAACTTAAGTCACAGTTGTCAGTTATGCCGTGTGTTCGTGAATTGGAAGCACTTTGATCCACACAGCTTTATCCTGGATTGAGGGGCTGTGGAAATTGCTGGGTTGCCTCTCCAGGTATGATGGTACCAGCATGCAGGCAGCAAGGCTCCAATCCTATCTCCTCTGTGGGTTAATGAATGCTCAGGGTGAATGTCGGGTCTTAAAGGTGCCACCTCAGCCCATATTTTAACACAGATACCCATGGTTAGCTCTTCGGGCTGAGCTGCTGAGAACACAGAGGAATGACTGACTAATGGTTGTTCCCAACCCCAGCATGGCTTTCAGATACTTTCCCCCAGCAGGCTGTAAACAGTGGTTCCAGTGATTCCACCAAACAGTGGTTCCACCCAAGTGCCATGAGCATTTCTTCAGCCATGGAGTTGACTAAGGACTGCCCTGCTCTTGATTTGATAGTGGGCAGGGGAGGGAGGGAACTTGAAGATGAGATATGATCTCTGGTCATACAGATTCACAATAGAGGTGATAAAACACAGCCGGATGGCTAGGAGGCGAGAGAGAGCGTGATGAGTGCCAAGAGAAGAAGAGTCGTGAAGCATTGCAAAGTAGATGACGCACATGTTAGCTTATTTCTTGTCTGGGGATAAAAAAACAAAACAAAACAAAAACCTGAGCTTGTTTTTGAGCTGAGAAGATTATAAATTGAGAGGAGCCACAGAAACAATTCGAGAGAGGACATTCCCAACAGAGAATGGTGTGAGCAAGGGAGCGTGGAGCCGTGAACTCGTAACTTACCGGCTCACCCTGGTGGCTGGTGGAGGCAGCCTGTGAGTCTGTGCCCTCAATGTTCCCCATTTGGGTTGTACTGAAACGCCCTTGCCCCGTGGCAGAATATCCCAAGCAGTGCCCTCCACCATCCCTTACCACTCAGCACCATGTGTAGAATGTGGGGCTCTGGAACACCAGGAAGCACCCTGACCACTAAAGGTAAGCACACAAGTGGTTAAACAGTCACTGTGTCATCTGTGGGTCTTTCAAGGGAAGGAAGATGAGGGACCTTAGTTAAAGGCTCCATCCTTGCAACCCTCCACTGAACTCACAGTTTGAAAACCCTCTGATTTTGATCAATGGGCATGTTATTTTTAAATACAAAAGAAAGCTTTTTCATCTTGAGAAAAAAATAAACGTAGCTATAGCAGACCTACAAATGGGTGACTACACAGTAATTGAACGTTTGTAAAACTGGTCTAGGTTGTGAGTCCTGAAGATGAGGAATGGGAGGGGCCTCTGGGGGGAGAAACTTTGCAGAGAGAGAGTCAACAAAGCTTGGCAAGGCAGGAGAGGGGAGCTGGAGATGAGGAATGGAATCCAGGGAAAGGGAGGTGGTACTAGAGAGTGGTCACGTGCTTTGATCCGGGGCTAGACTGCCTTAGCTTCAGATAGCTCAGTCAATCCTAGCATTGACTTCAGATAACTAACCAAAAGCACCCCATCTGAGCCTGAGTTTTTTTTACGTGTAAAGTTAGGGAAATAATAGCATTGTATTCATGGTCACATTATGAAGATTAAACATAGTTGTCATACCTAAATTATACAGATCAAAGCATTTGATGTTGTTCACATTCATTGAGAGGATGTCAGGACATAAGTAGGCATAGGAGGTAAACGGATGCACTCAGTTTATTTTCTTTGTGTGTGTGTGTGTGTGTGTGTGTGTGTGTGTGTGTGTATGTGTGTGTGTGTATGCGCCATAGCACACGTGCATGAGGAGGTCAGAGGACAACTTGTAGGAGTTAGTTCTCTTCTATTACCATGTTGGCAATGGGACTTGAACTTGGGTACTCTGGATTGACAGCAAGCACCCTTACCCATGGAGCCACCTCACGGCTCTGTGTTTAATTTTTGAGAAACTGATGTCGAGCCAGCGTGAGGACGTGGTAGTGGGAAATGTGATGTTCTAGCCTGGAAGAGCAGTAAAGAATATGAAAAACTAGTACTCAGGCTGCCTCAGTCACAAAAAGGTGACAGGAGAGGGTGGAGTCGTCTGAGGAGAGAGTACCTAACAGCACGGAGTAGGCGAGGGAGGACCCCAGGACTTGACTCTTAGGGTGCAGAGAAGGAAGAGCTGAGCAGAGGACAAGGGAGAGGCAGGAAAGGGAAGAAAGGCCTGATGGGAGTTTGGTGACCTCACGAAGGTCAGACTCGTGCAGAAGGGAGAAATGGGGCTGAAGGAGAGTGTTCCTGAGCCCCACACCCTACACATGGACACGCAGGGCCCAGAAGAGGTGAGAAGAAGGCCTTTGGAAACACAGAGGAGACCAAGGAGACACACACCAAGGTGACAAAGAGTTTTTGTGGGGGGCAGAGGTCACAGAGTGTGGTAGTCACGGGGAGCAAGAAGCACACAAGTGGCCAATCAACATCTCAGGGACTGTGGGCATCGGAGGGTCTTTCAGAGGAAGAGGATGGGCATTAGATAAAGGCGCCATCTTTGCAGCTTACAGGTTGTCTCGGGCTCCCGTCCTCTGAAAAGTGCATCCCAGTGCTCTGAGTGTGTCTGATGCCCAGGGCTGGAAAGACACTTTCTACTATCAGGCCTGCTTCTTCCAATTGGCCGCCCAGTGGTCAGTTCAGATTCGATAATGGACTTAACCTGTAGAGGTCACATGGGTTTATGACTTAACCTGTAGAGGTCACATGGGTTTATGACTTAACCTGTAGGGGTCACATGGGTTTATGACTTAACCTGTAGAGGTCACATGGGTTTATTACTTAACTTGTAGGGGTCACATGGGTTTATGACAGCCTTATCTCTTTTCCCATAAAGTGGACCCGAGCTCAGCAGTTGATAGCACTTGCTGCTTTTGCAGAGGACTTGGGTTTGGTTCCGGGGTTTAAAACCACTTATGACTCCAGTTTCAGAGGATCCAGCGCCATCTTCTGGTACCTGCAGGCACCTGCTCATGCATACATAGTGCACATTTGTACACTTGGGCACATATATACTTACACATACAGTAAGTAAGTCTTTTGTAAATGTACCAGAATTTACAAGGTGTATTTACTTAGTCTTGATGCTTACCTTTCCTTAGAGGCTGCTAGTCATAAACCAGAATGCAAGAAATGGCATCTTAAAATCATAGACGAGTTTCTGTGTGTCTGCTCTGTAAAGGGGGTTTTGAATTCATGTCTGGGCTTCCTTGGCCTTCCTTTTGTCTTTGCTGAGTGTGTAGTTACCTGCAGATTCTTCTTCAAGGTTCAACACACATTCTAAATGCACCTACCTTTTCCTGGACCATCCTGGCTGACTCAGAAGCAGATCTCTAGTTAGAGTTGTTATCTCTCTGTCCCACATTGCTCTCAGATTTTGAAAATCTGCGGACATTAGACGGTTTGTATTCTTTTAGATTTTTCAAGTTTGAGAGAATGCAGCCAGTGTACACTCTGGTTTCCTCCTCACTTATAAAACACGAAGAGTGATGTCTTCATGAACAGTAACAAGATTGATGGGGAAGGGAGAGGATGTGTGGTCTGTGTGCATTTTATAGTCTCTTGTTTTATTAGATCCATCTCATTTTACTTAGCTTTGACTTTTCACTACCTAACTTTGATAAAATGATAAAGACATGTTATTTTATATAAAAATCTATCGAAGAGTGACTTGTAATTTGCAAACAAGAAATATGTAATTTGCAAATAAGAAGAATATGTAATTTTTCTTCTCTACTACAGACCATATTGCAAGTTCTGGAGCAGCTCAAGGTTTTGTTGTTGTTGTTTTTCATAAGCACTCAAAATAAGACTTCAAGAAGGTACGAATCCAAAGCCACAGTGGAAAAGACAAAAAAACCAAACCAAACCAAACCAACAACAATAAAACACTCTCAGAATTTGCTGCAGTCACCTTATTTAATTCCTGACCACCAACATTTAGTCTGGCCATGGTCTCCATTCTGTCCGTGGACCTTTGGGGCATTTGTATCCAGGAGACTGGAGCTGAGGCCTGCCACACTGGCCGAAGTGGGCCAGTTCCCTTGTCTGTGTGTTTTAGGGCTAACTTAACAACGGGCAGGAGGAAGGAGGAAACAGCAGAAGGAACGGAACCTTGGAATTTTAGAGAGGAAGTGAAGAAGGAGGAGGGAGGGAATGAATGTATGAGTTAAATGGTATTTTATATCATTTTAACCATTAAAAACAAAACAAACTGAATTACACACGGCTTTTCCCAACCAGCTTTGAGATACTTGCATTAACTTAGGAATCCTTCTTGAGCACCTGAGTTTACATGCTGACACCCCTATCCCAGCTTAGTGTGATCCTGTAGCAACCTTACTGCCTTGTGATAGATAGCCTACTGATTCCTGTGACTCTGGGATGGATCATGCCACAGAACATGCCCTGTCTCTAAGGAGTAGCAATGCCATTTAGGGAGGAGGCTTTGTGGTGTGTGTGTGTGTGTTGGAAGATGAGCAAACAAGACATTATGAATAGAAGAAAAGATGAACTCCTGAGGAGCATGATGGTCATGACAATTGAAATATTCTGTTTAGTTCAAGGTCAGTGTTGGATTCTACCTTGCAAAAAGGATTAGTATTTGTCACAAAGCAATCTTAGTTCACGCTAGCTTTCCTTTATGACTCAGGCCTTGACCATACTTAAAAGAGCTTTCTTGTTTAATTAAGTGAATTCTCAAAATAAAGCTTTCAAAGCCTTAAATCTGATAGGAAAACATACCCAGGAAATTGGGGGAGACTAGGAATTAAGAAAATTATTTCCCCCCATAAAAGCAAAGCCTTAAACAAATAGAAGAATTGAACACAGTCTCCTGAGCACATGGGCAGTGTGACCCTTGTCCAAAGTTCCAGCGACAGTAGCGACATCCGGGTGCCAGTGTGAAGAACTTTTCAGGCAGAAAATGAAGTGTAGCAGAGGTCTAGTTTTAGCTTGATTGAGTTCTAAATCTTGAAGACCAACAAAGGAGCATTGCCCTTTGAATGGCACTGTGTTTTTGTTTTTGTTTTGAAACAGTGAGCACCCTTCACATCCACAGCCTGTAAGTAAAGCAGCCCCAAATGGTAGCCATGAAACTTAGCACACATGACTGCTACTGCCCAGCCTTATTAGTCGGTGACCAAAGGCAAGAGTCAGCGCGGGCAGATCTGAAGCGGGCCTCATCGGCACCAAACAGCCCATCTTTGCATTTTTCCATCCGTGGTCATCTCTGCTCGCTGTGCCTTCACTAGAGACCCACACGGCCGAGGGAGCAGAGCGTGGTTGCCGTCCTCCCACAGGACTGGCTTTGCCATCTCCGCACTAGCCACTGCTTGCTTCTGCTTGGCTCACAGCCGCAGTTCAGACAGCTGCCAAGTCAGTAATCCTTGGTAAAGTCCTCGCGCTCATTTCCAGGCATGGGAAGGCACTGGCTTCAATATTTACCAAGATATTTCCTAAACACTGGAGTGTTTATAGCTTTATATACATTTAATTAAATCATAATTACTTATGTGTTTATATTAAATTCAAGAGCAAATCCTGGAGCAAAATTTTAAGAAATAGCACCATCTATGGACAAGTTAGTGGCAACTCTGAAATTCCCACCTTCGCTTTCCATGAGTCTTGGATTGCCATTCCTCTTGCTTGAAGGGCTTGTGGTTTTTGGTTTTTGATTTTTTTCTTTCTTTCTTCTCTTTTTCGGTTGTTGTTTTTTAAATTCTTTATTCCAAAGCATTCCCAGGTATTTGAGATATTGGGACTGTCTGCACCCCAGACCAAACATTGGAGTTAGATGGTTTTTAGAAATGTCCATGAATGTTTCAAGGTCAGTGATGAAGACAAACTCTTCCTCTCAATGGCTGTTCCTTTTCCTTTAAAAGGTGCCAGGCATCTGTCTTTTCTCCATATTTTCTGATTCCATCTATAATCATATTACATAGATCCTGTTAGCTTTCCTCCCATCTACTGAAGAAAATTTTAACTCTAGTATTTTTTTTTCTTCAACTAGGGTGTAGTTACCACTGTGGTTAACTCTTCCATTGGCATAGAGTTTGGGTAACTACTTTACTTTTTTCAAAGGAATACCTAGGATATAATAAAGCTCCTTCTGCCAAAACAAAACAAAAACAAAACAACTCATAGTCTAAAGCATGGCTCTTGCCTTTGAGTCTACCATGCAAGCATGAGACGATACCCTGGGCCCATTCAGAATCAGTAGATTGAGCTGGTTCACAGAATTCCTATCACCAATCAGCACCCTGGGTAGGGGTGGATCTGGGTCCTCTAAGAGATACTTATTTAGTGATTATTCAGTTAGGGATTTTAAAAACAAAGCCATTTTAAAGCACAGATGCTTAGATTTTTATCTAAGATTGAATATTCATGTGTGACGCTTCATTTTTTAACCTCGGACTTGAAGAAACATTTCTACTGGTATTTAGGAAAATGACAGTGACATGAGCTTTAAAAATACCCAAGGGCCAGCGAGCTGGTTCAGCAAGTAAAGGCTTCTGCCACCAAGCCTGTGGACTCGAGTTAGAACGTTGGGTACCACACGATAGAAGGTGAGGACGACAGGCTCCCTCAAGTTATCCTCTGACCTCCATATGTGCATCCATACACGTGCACATTAAATAAATTAATTAAATGTAATAACAGTGAAGATCAACACACGGATGAAGACATGGTCACCCCTCACTGTAAGTCCAAACGTATCGTCAACTTAAAATTACTTAGCAAACTCCTTCCCCGTACTCAGGGTCGCAGCTCGGCAGCAGTCCATGCAGCGTCTCTGCTGCTTACCTGCATGCTGCGGCCGTCACAGCGCACCTCCAGGGTTTCATACTGCATGTCGTAGCCCGGAAAAGGAGCTGCCTTCGAGCTCTGAGGCACAGTTCCCACTGACTGGGAACTGGTCCACGTAATCACAGGGTTCAGAGCGCTGTGTGGAGGGAGTGTTGTGAGTCGGGCGAAGTCTGCACACCTGCTCCTCTGGAGACGCTTTCGTCCCAGAGTCGTGACAGTTTCTTTCAGACGGATTTTCGTGTCTTAATGAGCTGTGTGGGAGTCTGATCCTTGGTATGATAACACTCAGTTGATAAGTTCTGTACATCTTCTATGTTTTGTCTTAGCCTGTTTTAGGAAGTTTCTTTTCTTTTTTTTTTTTTGGTCATGAGTAAGACATAAGTAAATGGAGCACACATTTAGTGTCTGCTGAAGTAAAATGAAGGGATGGTGCAGGGTTTCCCCTTAAGAGCTGCATCCATTTAGTCAGCTACAGGTCAGACAGGTCCACACAAGTTCACAGATCACTTATCTTTCTAGAAGCTGAGAAGTACACCAAGATGTCCCTTGTCTGCTGATGGGAAGGGAGGAAAAAGCATTTTGGATGATCACTTCCCCAAGGGTTTTTAAGATGTGTTGTTAGTTTTTTTTAAAATTGAAAGATAAGGAGGCTGGTGAGATGGCTTAGCAGGTAAAGGCACTTGATGTGCACGCCTGTGACCTGAGTTCGATCCCCGGAACCCACACATAGCTGGAAGGAGAGGATGTACTCCATGAAGCGATCCTCTGGCTTCTATATGTATACTATCCCTGTCCCCTATTCCCACAATTGAACACACACACACACACACACACACACACACACACCACACACACACACACACACACACACACACACACACAATCATAGAAATAATACAACTTAAAAATTGTAAAGATGGGATATTGCACAGTGCCTGGAGAGGTCTTCTATACTGCAGCTTTTTTATATATAATACTTGTATTCTTTGTGAATTTCATACATGTATACAATGTATTTTGATCAAGCTTAATTGCCCTTCCCTAGATCAGATTTCCCCACCATAGCTACATGGGTGTGAGGCCACTCACTGAAGCGAGGCCAGCGATTCTCCTTCCGTTAGCATCCCGCAGTGGTCAGTAGCTCACAGCTGGCGGTGAGGGCTCATGGGCCCGGCCCCCCTCCCTGCTGGAATATGGACTGGGTTGACCGTGTGGAGGGGAGGGTTCCTCCACAAGAGGAACTGCTGTGAGTTCCTGCGTCTGTCAGTCCCATCTCATCCAGAAGACAGTTTGTCCCAGTCCTTCCCAGCCCCTGCCTCTTGGGATTGTTATCTTTTTATTTCAAAATTATCTCTTCTTTGTAGTCATTGACCACACTTCTAAAACAAAAAATTGAAATTGCTATTCCCAGGGCATCGAGAGTACCTTTCACTGTCCCTTCCGGGCTGAAGATGCTGGCTCATGACTCTTTTGTTTCTCCTTTCTTGTTTTGTAGAGTAAGGACGGCAAAAGTCCCCTGCACATGACGGCTGTCCATGGAAGGTTCACACGGTCACAGACCCTCATCCAGAATGGTAAGGGCTTTGGTGGGGCTTAACGGTGTTCTCAGATTACATTGGCTTTAACAGCTACATGAACATTGTGATGCTGTGTGTGTTTCCTCCAGGAGTGGGGAGAATGTAAAACCATGTTGTAGTCAATTCCCAGACAGGTGAAAAACAGGTGTGCCTGGCTGTTGGGAGAGATGACCAGGTTTAAAATACTGTAGCTTTTCACTTTTAATGAAGCCAAGCCTCCATAGCTTGCATTTTCTAACCGCTGGTCTAAGTTATTTTTAGATTGCTGAACCCAATAACGTTCCCCAAGTTTGGGCTCATTAAACCACATGGACAAAGGTAGGAAGAAGTCAGGTGACTCAGGGTTAAGCAGGTAAGAGTGTGTGTTGAAAGCAGAGACCTGATGGAGAGCTGGGAGAGCCAGGGAACACAGTCGTTTTCCAGACGCTCAACAACAGGGGACTTGGACATCACTGGACTGTCTCGGAGGCCAAAGTCCCTGAAGACTCACTGCATGTCACAGCTCATGGTAGCCCTGGGGTCAGGGTTGGCACCTGTGAGCGGGTTAACTTTGACAGCACAACTTAGATGATCTTAGCAAGCCTTAGAGACAATCAGAAAGCAAGAATAACAAAAAACAAGTTTGGACCAGGCATTCAGCTGACACTCCTGGTCAATTTGGTAACGCCTAAACTACGTTTAGTAGACTCAAATCTTCCAATTCTCAAAATTCTAATGTGAGTGACTTTTCTTGGATCTCTTTATTTTGTAGCTGTAAGAATTTTGGGTTAGTGGCATTGAGTTATAACTTAGGTACTCAAGTCATAAAAACCAAATATATATTTCTATGTATATTATATATATTTTTGTATATTGTATCTCTCTCTCTCTCTCTCTCTCTCTCTCTCTCTCTCTTTCATATATATATATATGAAACCAGCCACTCATGATGCTTAGGAAGCAGAAACAGCAGTGCAGGTCATAAACTGACATTTATAACCAAGCCAGTGGAGCTGTGTGAGAAGACACCTGAGCAAGCTTCCTTGCGTCAAGAAAGGCAATGTGGAAATTCACTGCCGAATACCCATTATTCCTGCAGCATGAGCTGTAGACATTCATAAATAAAGGCCTCTCCCTTTGAGGTCTTTTCTTAGCCTATTGTATTTCTCACAGGCTTTTCAGAAAGTATCTACCCCCCTCAAGACAAATAAGGCTTAAATTAAGAATATATTGTAGCATACTCTTTTGGTGTGTGTATTGTGTGTTGTATGTTATGTGTGTGGTGTACATATTAGAACAATATGTGTGAGTGTCTGAGCAAGCTCATGCAGAGGCCAGAGCAGGATGCTTGGTGTCTTCCCCCTGGCTCGATCTTATTGCTTTGAGACTGGGTCTCTCACTGAGCAGCTTGGGGTTGTAGCTAAGCTGGTCAGCAAGCTCTCAGGTCTGCCCATCTCTCCTTCCTAGTGGCGGGGTTATGTGCACAAACGGCCATGCCCAGTTCTTTATGTGGGTGCTGGGGATTTGAACTCATGTCTTGTGCTTACAGAGCAAGGGCTCCTACTCACTGAGCCATCTCCTCAGCCCCTTGAATATTTTTATGTGAGTTTAATCAGTGGATTTTAGCTATATGGAACAAAAAGTTTTGTCTCTTATTCAAGTAATCTCCAGTGGTGGAGACAAGGCCGGAGAGTTAGAAATCATTGTGTGTATGAATGTTTTACCTGTGTGTGCATATGTGTATCATGCATGTGCCTGTTGCCTGCAAAGACCAGAGGGTGTCAGATTCCCTGGAATTGGAGTGACAGGTGATTGTGAGCAGACATGTGGATGCTGGGAATTGAACTCGGTCCTCTGCAAGAGCAGTAAGTGTTCTTCACTGCCCTTATGAGCTGCTTTTTTTTTTCCTTTACCAGTCTATCCCTCTGCCGGACCACACTCTGCATCTCCGCTAACTCAATTGTGGCTCGGCTCCCTCTCCCATAGTAGTGTGCTTATAGCACTCCTAGGAGCTGTTGGCTGCCTTGACTTCTCCATCAGTCAAACTTTGAGTTTGCTGCACTTCGAAGTGAGGAAAAGAGCTGCGACTCTTAGTTTCTAGGACCCTTTGTTATAGCCTATCCCATCACTGACTGGCTGGTACCTAGTTTATGGGTGGGCCAGGATCCTCAGGCCTGAGCTGATGAGATACAGTGGCTGTAACACACAGGTTAGTACATGTAATGATCAAGCTAACTTTGGCTGAATGTTCATGCTGTGCCAGGCTCTTGGCTAGACACCTCCTTATAATTCCTTCTCACCATCCCAGGAGGAACTTGATCAAGTTCACTTCAAAGATGAAGAGAGTGAGGCAGAGCCGTGGTCACGTGCTGGGCTTTCTGAGCAGTATGTGGAGGAACAGGGTTTGGAACACAGTCTAGCATTAGTGAGTAGCCTCCCAACCACCATCTGTACATACATCTCCCTAGAAGAACAGTGGTGTTCACAAGTTTTCTTTTCAACTTGAGTTCAGTTGGGTCTAAGAGGTACCTAGATTGGGACAGAGCTGTCCCCGTGGATGGACAACTTGATGCTTGCTTTCTGCTTTCATTCCATGCATGAGAACTGTCAGTTCTTTCCTTTGACCTTTGTTCTTAGGGAGCAGAGGACCTTCTTTTCTCTCTTCCTGTTTATTTTCTTGCATTCGGAAAAACTCCTGCTCTGGCCCAGCCCCTGCTTCCCCGTGGCCTGATGTCAGTCTCCAGAGCTTGTCCCAACTTCCCCGTGGCCTGATGTCAGTCTCCAGAGCTTGTCCCAACTTCCCCATGGCTTGATGTCAGTCTCCAGAGCTTTCACAGCTCACACAAGCTGCTCTGTGTCCTGGAGCTGGAAGGCACTATCCCAAGGGGACACAGTTGACCACGCACTGGGGACGTCTTTTGTATTTTTGTTTGTTCTGTTAGAACACTTAGATGTTTGGCCTCTGTAGAGCATTTCTCTGATTCTCTTCTCCAGCCAGGCTTACTTCATCTACACAAAAAACCTGGTTCCCTCCAGCATCATTTGGGAAGGCAATCACTAAAACAAGCAATTCAGAAAACCCACAACCTTTTCTTTTTCAGTTAAAAAACAATGAACTTGGACTCAAATCGCATTGTTTGTTGTTGCAAAGTGACATCAAGGGAGGGATGGGGCCTAGAAGACGACACTGTGTGGCATCAGAGGCATCCGATCCAGCGATTGGCATGAGGCAGCTGCCTCCGAACCTGTCCAGCAAATTACAAAGTTAAAAAATGATATTGCCTTAGACTCTCCTGCTACAAGCTCTCTTTATTTTTAAAGCTTCTAAAGGCACTGGCTTACGATGGCTCAGTGTGATTTTTGACCTTTTGGCTCACAGTCCTTCTGAAGCAACTGAGGATGACCATTCTTGTTTGTGCAGTGAAAAGCTAATTTCAGATGAAGGCTGATCATCCCTCTGAACGTGCCACGCACGCCTTTAATGTGGCGAATGCTTATTTTACTCACTGACCATTAATGATCAGTTGGCCGCATCTAACCTGCAACCTTCGGATGAATGGTAAAGATCTTTAATGTATGCTCTGAGCAAGGCTTAAATATTTTCAGGTGGAAATGGAAATGTCTGTAGAGTGCTGATAAAATAAAAACTCCCTCATCCAGAGGATTTACTCTAATAGAAACATATTTTCAGATACAAATGCAAAGTCTCTCTTATTTTCTATTGTTATGACGTTCCCCTAAAATGTATTTTAAATGACAGCAAAAGCATATACATATGGTAATTATTCTTATGTGGCTTTAAACAGACATAAAATGACAGCATCCACGGGAAACCTTTTAGACGCAGAATAAGGCGGTTTTCTAGCCTTGTTGATAGTTTCACCCTCTTCTTTCTCTCCTCAATTTTTGGCATATTTGAGGATGGTAATTCTAGGCCCTGGCATGTCTTCAGAAACCTTTGGTGGCTCTCAGCTGGGAAGGATGTGTGGCTATGTGTGGTGTCCAGAACAAAGGCTTCTCTGAAGTCTATGGGTCTCCTTCCCCATTTCCCTAGCTCAGTTCCGTGGTTGACCTTCCAGGTAGACCACAGCTCAGGTCCTTAGACAGATATATATGCCCTGGACTATGCTGGGGTAGCTATGGAGGCTGAGTGGCTGCCAAAATTACAATTAGGTCATAAAAATGAATTAATCTAAGTAGAAACTCCTAAAATCAAGTCCTAGTAAGATATCTCTCTACTCCCTAGATGATCACAATAATTAACTTTATCATCTTTATGATTATGAAATAACTATACACTCACTGCAAACTGAAGTGAAATCATTGAAGGACCTACCTAATCAGAACTTCCGTTGGCAATTTGGTCAACATTTTGGAATTTTCTACTTATTTATATGTAGAAAGATACCCAGTTATTACTTTGACAAGAATGATCATAGTGTATTTGTTTGAATAACTCATTCTAAAAATGAGCGCCATCCCAGAGCGGCACAGGTTTGGGTAAAGATCAGGGTTTGGATTCAGGCCGCCATCGATATTTCTCCTCCGTGGTCAAAGGCAACAGGGTTGTCAGCTGCGCATGCGCAGACTTGCTGGCAGCGGATTGAATCTTAGTGACGATCTAGACACAAAAGCCTGTTAGACAGAGGGAAGCACCTCAGATCTGTCTGTGATGAGCGCAGTTTGTGACGCTTTTGCCTCTTTCATAAGGACCACATACTTTTGATAATTATTTTATTTTATCATTATCAACTGACATATTTTAACAGTATACTTGTCAAGTAAAAAATACTCCTTCCCCTGACCCCCCCCCAAAAAAAAAACCCCAAAAAACAAAAACCAAAAAGCCCTGTGATGATACATTGATTAGGATGAGCAAAAGTAGGATTCATTGGCTCATTGAAGGGATGTGCAGATACTGGGGGATTTGATAATAGTTTTTTCCACAAGACAAAACACAGGATCCTGGCCTGGAAGTTCAAGCTCTTCCCAGATCCAGGAAGACTCTGAGGTAGTGCTTGAGAACCAGGATGTAAACTGGCACAGATTTTCTTAAAAGTTGCTTTCCTGCTGCTTGTTCAGAGCCTTAAAAAGATGCAGCCTTTTAGTCCAGGAGTTCTGCTTCTAACCGTGCTGCTGGAGGGAAGTGGTCTGCAGTGTGAGGAGTCTTCATGAAGGTGTTTATTCTCCTGTTTTTCTTAGTGGCCAACATCTGGGAAGAGCCTCTAATGTCTATAACTGAGGGCTTGTTAGGTAAATGCTCCAAATTACAGACATTATGTAACCATTTACAGTTATACTAGTGAAAAAATAACACATGGAAGTATTTGTAGTGTAGCATTAAGGGAGAAAGCAAGATACAAATATTTCTAGATTATATGAGCTCAGCCATGGAAAATTCTACATATAATCCACACATGTACACGTAGGCAAATACACAGATGCATACACATGTGTATACACAAATACAAATGCACACAGATACGCTCAGATACACACATGAGTATGCACACACAAATGCACACATGCACACACAAAAATGGAAGGAAATGTTCCAGAATACTAATACTGCCTTGGATAGTCAGTCCATTATGAATGATGTCTCTGTTTTTGTATTTTATTCAATCATCTTCATCAGCAATACTATGTTTAGAACAAGTACATCTCCATAGATTGGTTAAAGCCATCCATTCATATATTGACATTTCTGATTTGGTAAATACAGGCATCCATGTAGTTTAGGTGTGTGTGCTAGATATTATAATATTAGTATAGCTTGTCACAATGTGAATATATTAACAAATCAAAATAATTCATAAGAAAACAAGGCCAAAGGTGACAGGACTTTGTGGACTGATGGGCTTTGGTTTTGGTTTTCCAGTACTGGGGAGTAAGGGTGACTATTTGGTAAAGCATAATCATTTATTGAGGTCTGTTCTACCTGTTATCTACCAGCATGGGCCGATAGCTCAGTAATGGACAGATTTCCACAATGACGCAGAGATTATTTCTGAATAGAATAACCAAAAGCTACAACCTCAGAATGACTTCATTTTGCTCTAATACACTGGGTATTTAAATGTTTTAGTGTTGTTAAAGAGCTTATTTATGTAAACACAGCATCATTGTGATTTGTTTTCATTGTTGTTAAAGAGCACATTTGTTTGTGTAAACACAGCATCCATTGTGATTTGTCCTTCCATGCTGCTGACTTTATTCTTTAATTTTTCTATGCCTTTCTTCTGGCCTTCAATTTTTCTTTTTCTTTTCCTTTTTTTTGAAATGAGGTCTTGCAATGTAGCTCAGGCTAGCCTCAGACTATCACTGTGTAGCCCAGGATAGCCTTGAATGCACCATCCTTCTGCCGCAGCCTCCTGAGTCCTGGGATTACAGCGTAAGCCACCAAGTCCATTAGGCTTTACTGTTTAAAGTGAGATCTGAGTCAGATGCAGTTCAGTGGGTGTGAGTGTTTCCTCAAGGTCACACAACTGTCACTGCCGTGTGACCACAGAACGTCCTTCTCATCCCTAAATGAACCTCATTCCCATCAGCATTCACTCTCGTTCCCCCTCCCCAGACCCTGGCAACCGTTAACCTACTTCGTCCTTATGAATCGTTTGACCCTCTTCCTCAGGCTCACTCTTTTCTGGCCTTTGGGGGAACATTTATTTAGTCAGACAACTTGCATCACAGCCACTAAGATAAACTCCATATGGGCCAACCTAACCTAACCTAACCCATTTTTCCAGTGTAGTAAACAATGGGTTAATTTCTTTGTTACCAGAATGTGCAGAAAGCTTTTCTACTTGCAACCCAGCTACAATAAAGAAAAAGGTTTGTTTATTATGTTCTTAACTGAATGAAAACACCATAAATAAAGACAAAGGAAGACTAGAAGGAAAATATTTGTAGCATATATTATTGATAAAGACGCAACCTCCCAAAGTCTGAAGAGCTTTTGAAAATCAGAGAATAAAAGACCACACGCAGACCCCCAAATTTAGAACAATAGGCAAAAGTCCTGAAGAATGCTTCCTTAGGATTAGATAAGCAAACATCCCTCCATAGAGGAGATGGTGCTCAGCTTTTTTCATAATAGGATAAATGCAAATGAAAACCCACTGGGATGCTGGTTCTCAGCCATCAGATGACAGAGTCTCCAAAGCTGGGTGAGACTGTGGAGAAGAGGCGCGTGTTCACAGCACTGGTCAGCATGAGTTACACAGCACCATGAAAACACACCCTCACTTGCTTTTAAACTAGAAAGAGCCCTTCTGGGAATTACTCTGAACCTGCAAATAGCAAATAGAAAAAGTGTGCATGTGCACATGAGATTCTTCACTGCAGTGTTTCTGGAGATAGCAAAATGTTATTTACAACCTAATCCATAGGATATGAGTCCGCTAAGCCAGCTCATCCACCTCAGGAGGAACAACACAGCTGTGTACTATTAAAGCTGGCCTCAAAAAGTGACCGCTCAACTTTCCTCAAGAACCTAAAACCTCACAACCGTATTCTGGCTCTAACTGGACAATACAATCAACGTCCATAAAATATGATTTTTTAGAGTTACAGTCAGCGAAGATTCTGTCAGAGAAAAGCAGGAAGCATGTGCTTAAAGCTAACGAAAATGGTTTCTGGTAGGAAGTCTGTAAGGATGAAATAGGGGGAATGGAAAGGTGTGTGTGTGTGTGTGTGTGTGTGTGTGTGTGTGTGTGTGTGTGTGTGTACATGTGGAGGCAATAGGTCACCCTCAGGTGAGTCATTCCTCAGGAGCCATCCACCTTGTTCTTTTGGGGCGGGGTCTCTCACTGGGACCTGGGGCTTGCTAACTGGGCTCTGTGACTGACTAGTGAGTCCCAGGGCTCTTCCTGTCTCTGTCTCACGGCTGCTGCGATTGCAAGTGTGTGCCACTGTGTCCAGCTTTTAACTCAGGTTCCGGGAACCAATTTAGATCTTCATGCTTGCATGGCAACCACTGTGCCAACAGAGATATCTCCTAAGCATGCGGCTTTTAAGAATATAACTTTGAGTTGTGAAGTATTAATATTTTACATATGAATAAAACACATTCAATTGAACCTAGTTAAAAATTTAAAACAATCAAATGTATAGCAAAGCAAGTGTACGAGTGCCCAGCAGTTAGGCAGCTTTTGCTAAAGCGTTCCCTGTATGAGGGGAATCCTTGTGGAAAAGTTTTGTTGGAAATGGCATATTAAATTGAGGATTCGCACAGCCTTAAAGGGTCACGACACAAAAATGCTTGCCAACTATAAAGGGTAAAGCTTCCTTTGCCGTAGGATGTGTTGGCAGGTGCCATCTTGAGAACGCAAATGTCTTTGTTATGGCGGTAAAATACATATGACAGAGAAGCCCCAGTGTAGCTATTTTTAAAGAACCGATAATTCAGCACCGTTAAGTGCTCACATCCTTCTGCGGCCACCGTCAACAGCATCTTTCTGTGCTGGAGCCCTACGCCTGCTACACACAATGCAGCAGCAGACCAATGCAGCCTGCGTGTGTGCTGGGTCAGTGCCATGGGAAGTCCCCACCTGCTCAGGACTGTCCTTGCCAACATGTTTAGTGTGACTCTCAAGAGCAAACCGTCAGGCAGGCCTCGATGCTGGACATCCTGTATCACCTGGGATGGTTTCCAAAGATATTAATGGCATGCAGGGGTTTAAATAAATAAAATCCAGAAGGAGTCATGAAGGAGATGCTGTCAGAGTCTTTGGGTTCCAGACTTAAACAGGTAAACAGCTGTAAACACATCTGGAAGGCAGTTGAAGATAGTATATTACACAAAATTATACCAGTGTTCATTTTCTTCAGTAAGACAAGGGGATGCACTTGTGGGTGGGAATATTTTGACCTTAAGGGAAACATATAGACACATGAAATGCTCCACTATCGATTTTTAAATGATTCTTCATCTAACTAAATAAACCCATTATGTTTATACATACACTCAGAAAGGGAAACATGAAATAAAAAGTTGGGGGAGAAACAATGCAAAATACACGAGACAAAATGAAAATGTTCTGTGAAAGGATGACAGATAACTAATGTGATATTTTTAGTAAATACAGGCAGGCACTTTCAGCTTTTGATCCATACTTCTTCTCATTTTACTTGTCCATATTTTTTTTTTTTTTCGGTTTTTCGAGACAGGGTTTCTCTGTGTAGCTTTGCGCCTTTCCTGGAACTCGCTTTGGAGACCAGGCTGGCCTCGAACTCACAGAGATCCGCCTGGCTCTGCCTCCCGAGTGCTGGGATTAAAGGCGTGCGCCACCACCGCCCAGCTACTCGTCCATATTTTAAGCTAGGTCAACATACTACACAAATCTTTCCCTGAATGCTCTGTCCCATTTGGTTTGAGTGAAGTCATTTCCATAAATCTCCAGAATTGTATTTTATGGAAGTTGATTGTATTGTCCAGTTAGAGCCAGAATATGGTTGCAAGGTTTTAGGTTCTTGAGAAAATGCAGATTTTTTTTTTTCAAAAGCATTTCTAATAGACTTCCATTTCAGCAGAGATGGCACCGCTGTGGCTTCAGACAGCGACTCATCCCCGTCACAGTCATTTTCACACTGTAGAGCGGAGATGCCCACTGAAGTAGAAAGGAAATCGGGTATTTGGTGTTCTCAGGTGGCTGGCAGGATTCGGTACCCAGATCAACCTGCAGCTTTGCATGATCACGCTGTGTCACCCTCTCTTTCAGGAGGCGAAATCGACTGTGTGGATAAGGACGGCAACACTCCCCTCCACGTGGCCGCAAGATACGGTCACGAGCTTCTGATTAACACCTTAATAACCAGCGGAGCCGACGCAGCCAAGTAGGTTACCGGGAAAGGGCAGTGGACTAGCGGCCACGTGTGGGGATGCTGCCGAGGGAGGCTGCGTGCGTGTGTGCGTGTGTGCGTGCGTGCGTGCGTGCGTGCGTGGTGCATGCATGATGCGTGTGTGCGGTAGAGGCCTCCCGTTTATCCGGGCTAAGGTGGATGGGGCCATTAGCTAAGCGCAGATGACATCTGAAATCAAGTAAGGGACTTTAAAGGCAGAGCCCAGGAGGAACCAGTTTGTTCCAGTCGCATCACGACTCGGCCTGCTCTGTCGGTTTTAGCTGAGAAAACCTTGACTTCGTTTTCAGCTCCGCTTTCTAGGGCCTCGTGGCTTGTTTGAGCATCCTCCATTAAACAGGAAACGTGACTAGGCAGCTTCAAATTTATTCAGAGTTTTTGCTCGGTTTTAAGACTAGAGTTACGGGCTACAATGGAGTTTGTCTGCCACATGGGGAAGTATGAGGGTCTGACTTCATTTTGCACTTAATTCCACAAAAATAGGGAAAGCATTTCTCTGGGTACGGGGGTGGGGGCGGGACTGAGTTCTCAGAGGGCTTCATGAGCAGTTACTTGCCTGGCATCTTCAAGGAGATAATTTTGTTGATCTCAAGTTCCACTTAGGATAAAGAGCCATTAAAGACAGCAAATCAGAGTTCTAAAGGGGAACAGGACTTCAGTGGCAAAATGCCTGGTGTCGGTGTTGTCAAAGTTGATAGGGAAGAGAAAACTCCAAGGTGGGGGTGGAGGGTCTTGAAAAGGCTTCAAGCTGAAGATGAGCCTTAAGCAGACCTGGGGGTGGGAGTCGGAGGGGGTGGGGTTGGGGGAGGGGGAGGGGGAGGGTCTCTGGGCAGAGCAGAAGATGACAGCGGCCCACAGCAGGAGGAGAACAGCGGGGAGGCATACTCCTGCGGTTTTCGGGGCTCTCCTTCTTTCTGCCTGCTTCATTTTGGGACTGTGTGATTCTGAGCCTGTTGCTTAATCCCTCTGTGCTTTGAAAACTAGAAACAATACTGGTACCTATCTATAAGTTCGTTAGGAAGATTAAATGACTTAATTACTAGGAAAGCTCTCTGGTAAGGTCTGAATGAGTGCAAGCTATTTAAATACACCAGAAAGGCTTATTAAATGATAATCTTTATGAAAAGCTCTCTGAACAGTGCCCAGCACATAGACGCTATCAATAAATGTTAACTATTATTTTATTGCCTAATAGTATGTAATAGAGACAAATTAGAGTGCCTTAAACACTTAAATGGAGAGGTTAGCCTGGATCATAGAGGCTGTGGGTGCCATAACTGAATTTTTAGGAGGGAAAGTATATTCATCAAATGTGTGTAATATAATTGAAAATCTTGCTGGAGAATAAACCAAAATTAAGATGGTTCAGGGTATCCATGGTGGGTCCATGTTCTCTATCAAAGTCAACACAGGCCAGGTGTTTTGAAGTACATTTTAAGCAACACATAGCTTTTTTTTTGGGGGGGGGGGTTCGAGACAGGGTTTCTCTGTGTAGCTTTGGTGCCTGTCCTGGAACTCACTTGGTAGTCCATGCTGGCCTCGAACTCACAGAGATCCACCTGGCTCTGCCTCTCGAGTGCTGGGATTAAAGGCATGCGCCACCACCACCCAGCCGCAACACATAGCTTTGAGGCTACAATGATTTACCTTCTTTAATTGTTGGGTTGAACTAGACTCCGCTGACCTCCTGGGGTGCTGGCCCGAGGGTGGAGGTCACTCAGGAGTGAATGGCTGCAGTCTCCTGTGTTACTGTGGACTTTCACAGCCGACTTCAGAAGACCTGGCGTTCCAGTAGAAGATCAAATGGATAGACGTTTGGACGGAGTTGGGAACTGAAAGAAAGACAGAAGCATGAAGAAGGGGTCCCCACTACAAGGACACAAACATGGACATTTTAAAAGGAAGCCTTGGGGCTGGGTGGCCTGACGTGAGGAGGAGGAGTCGGGAGAAACGAGGTGGAAAGGAGGAAGAAGGGATCTAGAAAGATCTCTTAAGTCCTGCCAAGGAATTGGATTCTATTTAGAGGCATTCGGAAGCTGTTAAGCAATTATAAATGGGTGTGGGATGTGTCTAGCAGTCCCATTTGTGTGTAAGAGAGATCCTCTGATAGCCACCCAGACAGACTGGAGGCCATCCAGACGGCAAACCCTTGGCAGCCTCTTCCAAGTATCCCGGGAAGAAAAGATGATGTCGTAGGCTGAGGATGAGGCTGAGGACCTGCACAGGAGGGGGATGCTGGCAAACGGTGTTAGCTGATCATGTTCTCCGTTCAGCCTCCGTCACAGCAGAATTACAGTTACCATGGTTACACAGATACCTGACTGTGATCCTCTATTGTTGCCTATGGTTGAGTGCCTATTTGCTGTCAACCACTGTGCCAGGTTCTGGGGTTATACAGGTCCCCGCTCTCAAGAAATATATGATCTATGTGGGGCCAGATTAAATAAACAATGACCATCCTAATGCCAAGTATGTCCCCAGAGCCAGTGACACTGCCATTGGGATATAAGAACACACATCAGGGATGTGGAGTCCTGTCTTACAAGGCCAGGCCTGGCTTGGGGAAGAAGCTGGAGTCAACCGAGCCTGAGACGAGCATCTGTTCATCAGGTCATGGTGGAGAGAGAGCTTCAGATCCTCCGTGCAGACTTACTTCCATTATATAACTTGAATAATACGCATTAGCCAAACTGCAAACTTCTTGGGCTTTTGAAATTACCCTATCAGCGAATGTTTTTAAAAACTGTGAAACATAGTAACTGTAAAACACATAGTCAATAACATTCATGGACACCGCACAATTATCACCAGCGTGGTAGCAAGCCCCCATAAGTACTTAACTAGGCACGGCACCATTCTAAAGGGTTACATGTAACCATCACAGCATTCCCATAGTGTAAGTGTTCCGTGGTCAGCCCCATGGAGAAAGGTCACAGAGCTAGTGAGGAGTAGGAACTGAGACCCTGTCCTTGGTCGCTTGGATCCGAAGCTCCAGTGTACCAACATGGCCCATTGTCCAGCTGATAACAGATGTTGTAGTGGCTCGGGTTGTACAAGACCAGATCACCATCTCTAGGTGGTTGTGGTGGATGAGGTGCTGACTCTTGAGGGTTCCATGTCTGTTGCAGGAAGGAAGGCCCTGCAGGGGTCTAAGCAATGTGGCGGGGCAATGGGCTCGGCCCCCAGCACAGTGGCCCGTATTCTAACCAACTGTGCCATCTTTTGGTCACACAATGATTTCAGTGTCATTGCATTATTATCATCCCTCCCTAGACTGAGATACAGCTTATGTCTAGTAGAGTCAACTGGATGTTTTCCCCATTGGCCTGTGACAACCTCTAACCAGACTATGATACACGAAGCTAAGGTAATCTGACGCGCAAAAGCAGGCACTCAGGTTTGGCATATTCATTCAGATGAACCCAAAATCTTTTATATTTTAGATGATTATTGAAAAGAACATATTCTCTCAGAGGACTTTTTGGAGCTCAAAGATGTTTGCAGTGACCCTCAAGAGTGTGTTAATGAGTTTAAGAAACATTATAAAGCAGTGGGAAAGATGGGGTGTCAAACAGAGGGACAGGCCAGAGCTTGGCCCTCAGGAGCGCAGAGGTCTTCACTGAGAATCTAGAATCCCCATAGGACGGGCAGTGGCCACTCACGAGAAACCTTGGTGGCCCTGTTGTAGTGTTCAGACTGCTCAACCCACTGGAAGTGTTTGTAGGCTGCAGACGGCAGGAAGCAGTCTCTGCGTTATCAGCCGCACCCAAAACGCCTGCAGCAGTAGCTAGGGTGACATAGATAAAACTCCTTAAAAGTTTTGATTTAAAAAAAAATGAGAACAATTCGGGTAAAACGATCGTGAGAGGAATCCATTCTAAGTTAGAAAACGCGTCTTGCCCACTGAATGGGCAAGTCAGTCCAATCCCACACGCTCGGAGAGTTGTGAACTAGGACTTAGAAAGGGGGAGGTTGAGAAGGCTAGCGGGTACGGTTCATAGCGGGTACGGTTCATAGCGGGTATGGTTCATAGCGGGTACGGTTCATAGCGGGTACGGTTCATAGCGGGTACGGTTCATAGCGGGTACGGTTCATAGCAGGTACGGTTCATAGCGGGTACCGTTCAGCCTCAGGAGCAACGACAGCTTCGCAGCCGCCAGCTCCTGGGGCAGCTAACCAGTCCCGGGGTAACCGTGTGCCAGCTGCCTTGTGTGCCTTCACCCGGTGAGTCCTCCTAACCACTGTGACGTAGACACCGTAGTTACCTCGACCTTCCTGATGATGGAGCCATTATGTACTTGCCAAGCACCAAGTAGTTGGCAAGTAGCAAAACCAGGACTCAGTTTCTGGCTCCATTGCCTTAAACACTTCTTGACCACAGAGAGTGAAGGGAAGGTTCTAGAATACATTGGGTATAGCAGCCTTGTCCCCTGATACCAAAAGGAAACCGGAAAAGCCCCCAATACTCTTCCGGTACAGAAGCCCTTTCACCTCTGAGAGTATGCCACAAGAACATTTTCCAGACCTCATTTATTTTGGAATAGCTAAGTAGAGAATGCCAGCTCACTGCTAAATTAGAAATACCCGAATACAAATGGCTTCCATTAATTTTATGGCTTTCTAGATAAATGCAGCAATTTAAGTGGAATTGGTCTCCTCTTTCCTGTAGCTTACGTATTGAACTTTAGGGTCATTTGGCGTTTTTATCCTCAGTGCTCCTTGATGCATGCCTGAAGTGAGAGCGAGGCTTCTCTCTAACTATGACAGCCAAGCCCAGATTTTCCTACTAAAGATTTCAAAATGCTTCCTCGGTGAGCTGGCTTGTCACAGCAAAGGGTAGTGTAGCAGGAATCTTAAAAGTTCTTATTAATAAAATCAAACCCGAGGCCAGTAATTGGGGTCATTGCTGGTAGATCAGAGAGACAGAACAAGCCACAGCTATCTCACCTTGCCAGTTCCTCAGCTGGTCCTGTTTCCTCAGACTGGAAGCCTCTGAGTCCTCATCCAGAATGAATCTCAGCTGAACTGCTGCT